CAAGAGTACTTATCACACTACTTCTACTAACGACAAGAAAATAAATCACATGATTGATAATATGCAAGTAAATTTAGTTAAGACTTTTTTTTAACTGACCAGGATGGTGTTTTGATCACTCTCTTACCAGATATGAATCATAATAACACATTATCAAACAGAGCATTCCAACCTTCAAAAGTTGTATCACACCCTAAGGAATCTATTGTTCGAACGGTATTATTTCCAGGAGAAACGCGTGCTTACTTCAAAGGCTGGGAACTGAATTTTATTTCAAAGATTCATGCACTGCCATTGTTTTGGAAGCAATTAGACATTCTTTTCCATTAAGTTCGCCCCCCCCTTAATTCAATAATGTGTAGGCCATATGCAAAGCATTGAGTCCAGAAGAAAAGGCCTTGCAAATCCCACTAAAAGCACAGACGGGAGACACCAGAAACTATGCAACAGTGGCTGCCATGAAAAAGGTCACCTTTTTTCTTAGAACAACCCATTAATCAATAGAATATAATTGTTTGGCCGTTTGCAAGGGCCTGCAGCCTACAGACTATGTTCTTCAGTGGCATAATTACAAAATAGTAGAAGTTCAGAAACATAACCTAAATCCACCTCCCCCTTTTTTTACCCCTTTACAATTCTCCACTGCCCTTTGGGCCTCTGCTTTGGAAGCAAATGGAAGACAGGCTGAAGTTTTCTCAATTGAGCTGAAAGCTAAGAAACCTTTGATATGCTAATAGTCCCCTTCAAACGGTAAGAATTCACACTTGCATTAATTCAAACAATTTGTGCAGAATGATGTGAAATGGCACCTCTTTTAGTGGCAGGCAACAAAAGGGAGGGAATCAGAGTGTCTGAAGAAGCCAAACAACAGAACGTTTGTTCTGTGGAGTTCTTTCTATCTCACCACAAAACATTTTTCTTAAGGAAAACACACATATGCACCTGAAGCCCCAAATAAGATATCTTTACTCACTGCCCAATCAACTATGTCCAAAGCCCACCACCACCTCAAGGGTCTGGGATTAGTTCCAGAACAAAAATCCAGAGACTTCAATCCGGTATCCCCAATAAACATATTCATTTTTAAAGGTAGAAACCCTCTGTATCTGAAGCCTAAGGCAAAAAAAGCTTTTCTTGCCTACAAGAACTGTAACCAAACACCTCTTCCACCTATTTAGATAACCGGAAAAAAGTGGCTATCATGCATTCCACACAATTTTGGTGCAAATCCCTTCACATTCTAAAAACCCATTTTCAATATGCCGCACATACTTTCTTAGCATTGTCTCCAAGTGGCCCTACATTTTTGCAAGTAAAGAAAGGAAAAAGAAAAAGGCAGCCTTTTCCTATGTCCACACAGGGGGAAATGCATATACATATATTTCTTAATTTATCTGGAAGCTTCTTTTTTTAAAAAAAAGGTGCAAAGGTTAGCTGGACTATTCTAGCTCGCTCATGCTTTAACCAAAACACAGATGTGCAACAAGTTATTATTCACCGAAGGGAACCAACTTTTCCTGTCAGAGGACGACATGACTTCATGAGGACCGGACTTGGCAGGGCCTGCTAGGCGCACGCATACCTATGAATGAGACCCAAGTGCCAGAGTCGAATAACTCTTCTAAAAAGGATCTGGAGTAAAGAGGCTTGCCTAGCGAAGCTGTACACACAGGAAAGAATGGTGGAGCAGCCCAGAGAAAGGGAGAGCAGAAAAGTGCCTGTTCCAGTAACAGGATCCAGATGGCTCTTGCTGCTAGCAAGAAACTTGCAAGGCTTTTTTGAAAGCTTCCCCCTCCCACTTCAAGGAGGGGGGGGATTCCTAAAGGCACCCTCCCTCCACTCCACACACACACTCACCCACAGCCACACACCCCAGTATCTTTCTAGCACAGAAATAAGAGCTGCCACCCTCAGGCAAACTATTTGGTATGAGAGAAATCCCTTCACCCTTGCCCACAAAAAGTCTACTTCAAGTTCCATTCTACACCACTCCCTGGCACACTCGCTTGGAGAGGATAGTTTTCAAAATACGTTTTCAATAGCAGAATACAACCCCATTAAAAAAAAATCCTCCATATTTAAAAAATAAAAATTAAAAAAAGAGAGAGAAAAAGAAATCTCCGGGGCGTCTTGCCCTGCTTTCACAGAGACCGTGCAAGTCCGTGAACGGTGCACTTTTTTTCCCCTTGGCAAGGGAGAGAAGACAAGGTTCGATTAAAATCCATCCCCAGCGGTTCCAGATCAAACGGAGGTCGGGCAAAGTTTAGCAAACCGGGCAGATTTCTCTTCTTTCCACCCCACCCCCACCCCCACTCACACTCCAAAATAAACAAATGAATAAGGCACCAGAGCTGCAGCCGGTCCCCGAGAGAGCGCACAACGCAACAATTCGCTGTGCACCCAAGAAGCTGGCCTTTTTTTTTTTTTGAGGGAAGGAGGGAGGGAGGACCCCCTCCGATGTGAAGCTGTCCCCGCCCCCCCCCCTCCAGGTCCACTGACCTCTGGCCATCTCCAGGGCATTCCCCGGTCCATCCTGCCGTCCTCTCTTCTCCTCTCCCTCACAACTCCCGCCCACCCTTTCAGAGCCCCTCAGCCAAAAGGGGCGCCTCCTCCTCCTCCTCCTCCTCCCGCCCTTCGGGCCGGGCAGCTCGGCTCCGATCAGGCCTGGCCGCCGTACCCAAACCGCCTCCGGTCCTCCCCGCAGCCGCTGCCTGGCCAGCTAAGGACGACGCAGGTTCACGTGTGGCTGCGTTTTCAGGTCACCTTTCCCTCGGCGTCTGGGAAAGCCCCCCTCGGTCGCTCAGCCTTAAGCCTCACCCGAGCTCCCTCGGTGCCCAAAGGAAGGCGGGAGGCAGATCTCGGAAGGAAAGGGAGAGCGCCATCCTCCCCCTTCAATGACCCCTTCCTTCTCTCCCCCCCCCGCCTGGCTCTCAATCTGGATGTCCACCACCCCCCTTATTAGCACTACCCCCCTTCCCATACTTTGATTTATGCGGCGCGCAGTAGAGATATATACACATATTTTAAGGTAAATCTGAACGCACAGAGAGGAGAGGAGAAAAAGGGAGGGACGAGAAATAGTTTAGATCTTAGGGATTTACTGGCGGGGTTTCCCTCCCCAAAGGGAAAACAAAGGGTTAGAGAGTCGAGAGCTTCCCCCCCCCATCCTTTCAAAGTAAGCAGCCCCCTCGCGTGCCAGCGGCTCGCAAAAAAAAGGGGGGGGGCGATCCAAGTCAGCAAACAGGTACCGCGAGTCGAGAAAAGCAGCTCCCCCACCGCCGCGACTTTACCTTGCGGTTCGCCGCCGAAGCTGGGCCAGGTTTTTTCTTGCATCTGGGGTGTCCCGGCAAGCGGTCGCGGTGGCGAGGCGCAGGGAAAGGGATGCAAGGGCGATCGCACCCTTCCCGATCACCGGGGGACGGAGGAGTTTGGGCCCCAGGAAGCGCCAGCCACAAATAGCCCAGAATTGGAGCGAAGAAGAAGAAGAAGAAAGGGATCGCCGGGCAGGCAAAAGAGCCGGGGCTGGGCAGAAGTGAAAGCAGTCGTCGCGAGCAGCTGGCTTTGCAGCTCGCTGAGCTGGGACAACACGTACACAAGGCGGCTGCTGCTGCTGGTGGTTCTCGTCCTCCTTCCTTTCCTCCAAGCAAGCCCGGCCAGCCGAAGGGCTTTGCTAGGGGTTAAGTCAACATTTTCTCCATGCAGTTCCCAACACACTCTGCTTCTTTCCCTTTTTTTTTTCTTTTTTGGTCTATGAAGTTGCTGTTAATTTTTCTTCTTTTTCTTTTCTTTTGTTTTGGCCTGTTTGATGTATGTGTGAAAACAACATTGTCCAACAATAAACCGGAATTTTATTTTGCGGGCACCGCCACAAAGGAGCGCTCGGTGCGAAACCCTCCCTCGATGCCAGCCGCCTCGGCAAGTCCGGTCTCGCTTTCTCGAGGTAACTAACGCGAAGGCGAAGAAAGCCGATCGCCAACCCGGAGGAGCCGGGATCAACTCTGTAATTTTTCAGGAGGAAGATGAAGTGGGAGAAGGCGTGTGCGTGTGCGTGTGTGTGTGTAGGAGAGCTTGCGATGGCAATGCACCGAGACTCACGCGCCAATTAAAAGGGGGGGGGGTGAATGCCCTCTTGCCTCCGCCGTCTTCTTCGACCTCATTTACATCTCTCAGGATGTCATTCTGGCCTCTGGCAGGATCCAGTTCGGAGCCATCCTTTTCTTCCTGCAGCTTCGTTTTCTCCCTTCCGATGCTGCTGCTGCTGCCCCGTGAACGGAGATCAAGAGCCAAGCTGGTCGCGCTCAAAGCAATGGAGAGAGAGAGAGAGAGAAGGGGCGTGAAATCGTCCAGGAGGAGGAAAAAAGCCAGTGAATTGTATTGCCAGCTCCTTTTCGTTCATGCACCTCTCGGTGTGTAACTGGGGATTGCAAAGTCCTGACACAGACTCTCCATTCGCTCTGAACCGGAGCCACCTCCCGCCTCCACCTCCTTCTCCAGTCGCCACCCCCTTTCTCTCTCTCTCTCTCTCTCTCCCTCCCCCCCCCTGGGCTCTGCTAATCATATAAACATATTATCATGTATAGAAACGGGGGCCGTAAAAAAAAAAAAACATCCCACAGAAAACGGAAAAGCTCGCCTCCTTCTCCTTTCCCTCGTCACCCCACCAACCCCAGCTAGTGGGGTGTTGTTGGTTTTTTTGGCAAATAAAAGCAGATTAGAGGGAGCTAAGTAGTACCAAACGTGAAGGAGATAATCTAAAGGCTCTATCTGCCACCACTGGCCATTTTCCACTCCATTTGAGCTGCTCGCGGCGGCGGCGGCGGCTGCACGGCTTTGGGGGAGAGGCATAGAGAAGAAGGTGGGCGAGAGAGAGAGAATGAAGGGGGAAGAGAGAGAGGGGGGTGACGATCTGGCGGCGCTGGCAGCGGCAGCAGCAGCAGCAGCCGGTAACAGTGGATCAGCGCTGGCCACGGAGGTAGCGCAATGTTGGGACAGGCCCACAGCAAGGGGAGGAAAGCGGCCGGTAACGGGGGTGGGGGTCCCCCCCCGGCCGGATGCCCTGCGTGACTCGTGGGGTGCCTTCCCAGCCGGTCGCGGCGCTGCAGACTGACTAACGAGGCGTCGCCTCGCCTCACCAGCCCGGCTCGTTCCGGGCAAAGCTGGCTGGGCGGCCGGGTCGGAGGCGGCGCGCTCCCGCCGAGAACTCTCCGGGCCCCTTAAACTTTATAGGCGCCGCTGGCTTCTTCCCGCCTTTGTGCTCCAGAAGCTGCCCCCGTGGGGTTGCCGTTTCTCCGGGGCAACCGAGCCCCGTTTCGGGGTGGGGTCGGGGAGCCAAGAGCGAGCGGCAAGTGCGCGCAGGAAGGTTACGACGAGCGGAGGGTTGTTTTATTTGGGAGGGGGTGTCTTTCGAAAGTTCGACGCGAGGCAGGGACACCCGAACATTTCCCAGCCGCCGCCGCCGCCCCCCCAACCCCGTCCGCCATTCTTCCCCACCCCTCATGGTTTCCCTCGCCGCCTTAATAATTCGTTCGGTTTTGTGAGGCTCTTGAGCGTCTCGTCGCGAGGCTGAGCGGCAAGACCCGGGGAGGGGGACGGGAGGGAGAAGAGAACGAAAATAAATTTTGAAAAGAGCCTCTTAAGATACGCCAGGTAGAGGGACGGAGGGACTTTCTTTGTTTCTTTTGCGGTTAGGGGGTTTCGTGTCCGTGCACGGAAAGTGTGTCGGTCTTGCTCCCGGGGCACACTTTGCTTGCACTTTCCTCTTCCCCCCCGTCACCAGTCAGAGGAGGCCACTTGAAAACCTGCGTACCGACGGAAGCGAACAACGCGTGGGAACCGTGTCAGCGTGTGTGTGGGGGGGGGGGAAGGAAATAGTGTGCATTTCACTCTCTCGTGTGACAGGCAGCTACTGCTTTGCCTTTTTCTTCCTCAGTGAAATTCCTCCGACTGCCGAAAGGATTTTCTTCTCCATCCATCTCCGCCTACAGACGCACGCGCGCGCACACACACAGACATACACACAGACACCATCCGTTTCCAAAATAAAAGGTGCTTTTCTTTTGTCTGAGAACCGATGGCTTTTAAAAATTAAACTCTCGGCCTGGGATTGTTCACACGTTGTCATTTGACATGCCTTCTGACATGGCGGCTCGTGAATTGTGAGCTCTGTGGCGTAATGTTATGTTTCCAAGAGGGTGATGTTGAGGGAAAAGTAACAGGAACCCTACACATAGTGTATTATATCACAGTACAGTACATGGTTACTGGGGGGGGCACCAAACGTCTCTCGTTGCTTACACATTAATCTTGGCTGTACTGCCCACTGATCTGAATAATTATTATTGCTAGTATTATTCCATATATTGTCCAAGCATTTCAAGGCATGATGCTCACATTTTAACCAGTTGACAGTATATGTTTTTGTGCCTCAGGTTCACCCAGAGGAATTCAAGGCTGGGTCAGAAAATGGAACCAGATCATCCTGTTTCAGAACTATCCACTGCAACATATTCAACACCACCATTTAATGGGAATCCTCCAGTGAGCTTCAGATTTTTGTTTGGTACTAAGTAACAATGCTGCAGAAGTAGTAACTGTAAATGGTTCTCTTGCAAAGCATGTTAATTCCCCAGAAAAAAATAAAGTTTATATTGTGATTGACGTAGCTATGGGCTGCCTAATGTTTATGATACATTAGTATATCTATAAGATGACTTTCATGCATTACAGAACTCAGGGCCTTTTATATCTTCTGTCATTGACCCAACACTTGCTTTGTCTCAGCAGTGTAACAGCGCCCTTTGACTGTGGCTTAGTATATTCTTTGTTGCCAGTTTCCCTCCCCTTTGACTTTGTTGACCAGAGCTGATAGGAATTGCAATCTAACCTCTGCAGAGACACACATTCCCCGACTCGTGCTTTATGTTTTTTTTTAAATGACTATTGCCCACAATGCTGTACAAAAGTTTCAACTATGTACACTACCTAGGCTGGTTGTGGATCCGGCATCTCACTAGACCAGGCTTCCACAGAAGCCTCTATTCATACATTCTAAGATGTGTTGGCTTTAAATTCATGATCCATTATGATAACCTATATAGATTGGGGCTGGCACTGAGGGTGCAACTACATTGAAATATACTCTTCCAATTACTGTGTCTGTCACAATACAAATCGATTCAACATTTTCCAACTGCACAACATTATTGTAAGTGTGGGAAAAACACTGTTTGGGGACTTGTTTATTTTGAACACCCATTGGGAGATTGTTTATTTCAAATTGAATGGTTAAACTGCTGTACTGCAGCCAAAACTGTGCTCACAACCTGGGGTTCAATCCCAGGGAGCCGGCTCAAGGTTGACTCAGCCTTCCATCCTTCCGAGGTCGGTAAAATGAGTACCCAGCTTGCTTGGGGGGGGCAATGTGTAGCCTGCATAATTAACTTGTAAACCGCCCAGAGAGCGCTTGAAGCACTATGGGGCGATATATAAGCAGCACACGTTGCTTTGCTTTGCTTTGTGCTGGGTTTTTAAAATCCATTTTTATTAGTGCAAACAGCCATCATGTTGTAGTCTGTGCATCTTAGTGGTGTGTTTGCATCTTAGTGGTGTGTTTGCAGTAGTGCGGGATGCTGTCCCATCAGGAAATCAGCAGTTACATGTGCTGTCTGAGCTGTTTCCCTTTCTAAACTTTTTAAATAAACTGTTCAACTTTAGCATTCCATCACATATGTGCTGGAGTCATTCTGTCTGCAATATGCAGCAGTATGGCACTTAAAATAAAAAAGAGCGGGGAAATTAACTCTGGACAAGATGGTTATAGACAAGGACAGAATGCAGATGGAGTCAAATAGGCCCACAGGCAGATGAAAGTGCCAACGCTGAATCTATTTAAGGTCATTTAAAGAGTGTGTAGTTCCCTTTATTCAGTCAACCTGGTTCCACTGAGGCTGCCCCAGGAGGACTGGGATAGCAACACAAAGGGCATGTGACAGGAAGCAGTACAATAATACCACAACACAACTATTAGATAATTTGGGCAATATAATTGCACCCTCCGTTAGGTTTTTAGCTGCTGACCCAGAGGTTGGGAGTTTGATCCCCCACAGAACGTCCCAGGAGAATAGCCACCCTGCTCCTGCCAACCTAGCAGTTTGAAAGCATGTAAAAATGTGACTAGATAAATAGGTACCACCTGGGTGGGAAGTTCTGTGTCTAGTCACGCTGGCCACGTGACCATGGAAACAGTCTACAGACAAACACTGGCACTACAGCTTGGAAACAGGAGTGAGACTGGACAAATTGTCAAGGGGAACCTTTACCTTACAGCCCTGGGCAAGCTGCACAGTCCCAGGACACCCCAAAGAGGGAAACAGTAAACCATTTCTGAGTACTCTGTACCTAGAAAACCCTGAAAAGGAACAAGATTAGTAAGAAACTTCCTTGATAGTGCACAGTTAAAATAGCTGCTGCTTCTGCCTTAGGTTCAGTTCTTAAGATTATATCAGCTACTACATCTGTGTAGAGTAAATGCATTCATTATGGAAGGGATATATGAAGGATGCAGTTTCAACCTGCAGCAGCATCTGTGCAGTTAGCATAGTCCTACTTTCATACCATGAAAATACAATGTAAGAGAAAAATTAGTTAAGGATTTTAAAAACTCATATCCATTGGTCTTGAAGACAACCTATTAGTGGTGTGAAGAGTGCTAAAATTATTTTGGCTTTTGTGTGGCCTCAGAAGGGGTGAAAAGTGTTCACATCAAATTTTCTGGTGCCTGAATACCTTGGGGTGCAAAAATAATTGCTGCTGTGAATCAAGGTGAGACAACCATGTCAGATTCACAGCCACTTCCTGGATTTTTGGACATGCCCTCTTTTCTTTCCTTCTTGCTATAATAACTGCAAAAGGCTAAATTGGTGTTTGAAAGCCTCCTGCATTAGCTCTGTTTGCCACCATTAATTGCCCTGGGGTCACTCTTCAGGAGTGAGTTATGTCAGCTTCAGGGGCAGTCCTCCCATATTAGCTCCATTGTACCACCACAAATTGCCCTGGGGTCACTCTCCTTGAGTGAGTTATACAGTCCATGCCAGAAAATCTGGGTCGTTAGTTTTATGCACAGAAAGAGCTGTAGTGAAAGTCAGATAGGGGGGTATCTTAAATTTGGTTAGCCTTCAAAAGTATAATCACCTTTTGGCTCTATTGGCATGAGTTTTAGTGTATATAGCAGTTTTATTATATTTCCATGCTTACAATTGTCATCATTCTTGCTATTCTCATAGCATTAAAAAAAGAGAGAGTGGCTTTAAAATGTCATTTGAAGCAATTTATGCTCAGAAGTAACATTGGCCTTGAAAATGAGTTAAGTGGTATGGTGTTTTCAAAATAACAGAGTCATCAAGGCAAGAATACTGTTCCTTAGTGTAGTAAAGCATCCTTGTATATGTTCTAGCATCAAGTCACAGCAGTGTGTTGATGGTGAAAGTGCAGGAGGATGGTAACTGGTATTTTTCAACCCCTTTTGTGTTGGCTACAGTCATCAAGAGTTTGCTATGTGAATTGGAAGAAAAATGGACCTTTTCTCCCATCTGTTTTCCACAGAAGCAAAAACATATGTTTTTGAAGAAAAGAAAATCACCACATGGTGTCTAGACTCCATGTTAGAATATAGGCTCTAGTCAGGAAAATAAAACCCTGGCAAGACAGCAGTTCAGCTTCTTCCTGGCCATGTGTCACCCCCGCGAAGCAACACAGGACAGCCATAATTTGGCAGTTTCCTTGCTCTTTCGCTCTCATGTGTGCCAACAGTACAGTGCTACATGGACACAGTAGCAAAGCTGTAGGTGAATAGCCATGGAAGCACCATGGGTCATGCATTTAGAATTAGTAATACAAAGGACATAATGCTGGGCAGGATCTCTCTGGTAAAGGAAGGCTTCAATCTTTAGAATAGAGAGGGGTGTGAATTTCAACAATTCCTATCCTGCCTCCCAATACTCTTCTAATCTGCTTCGAATAGTAGAGGAGCTACAGGGGAAAGGAATTGCTGGAAATTGTGCCCCTTCTCATTCCACGGATGGAAACTTTCCACGGGCAGAAATAATTAGTTAATTCTGCCTTTTTTCTTGTTGCTTCTCCCCAAAGTACCTTAAGACAAGGTTTATATCTATTGACATCTTCAGATACCAGATTGGTTATGCTAGCAAATTCAAATGCTGAAACCAGAATGCTCCAAATTATGTCATTAGAAATAACGGTGCATATGTGTACCAGAGGCTACATCCAGACATTAGCCCCAGCTAAACACTTCCAAAGGTATTTACTTCAGATCCATTCATTCAGTGGGTCTATTCTAGTTGGACGCTGACTGGATAGCTCAGTGAGTGAGATAACCCAGCTGCAGAGCCAGAGGTTCCCCACTGTGCATCCCAGAAGAGCCAGGCTGTGTGGCCTTGGGCAAGCTGCATTTGCCCAGAAGAGGTGAATGGTAAACTACTTCTAAATATTCTCTACCTGGAAAACACTAGAAAAAGTTGCTGCAAGTAAAAATTGATTTTATGGCACATCATCATCATCATCATCATCATCATCATCATCATC